GCCGCTAAAGCCTGTTCGTAGGTGGGGAGGCCTGGGGGTTTGGGCAGCGGCAGAGGCGTTGGCGGACCCGGAGAGCTCAGGGGACTGAGAGGGTTGATGAGCTCGGCCCTGGGGATAGAAGGTGCACAGTTAACAGGGGAAACCTGCAAGATAGAAAGACTTGGAAGAAGGAAGGACTTAGGGAGACAGAGACTCTAAGAGTAGTGGAGAACAGGTGGAGGGGAGATGAACCAAGGAGAAGGAGGGTCACCTTCAATCTGACAAGCAGCAAAGCACCTCAAAACGACAGGTAGATGCACAGGGACAGGCAGACCCGCAAATCAACAACTGCTAAAAGAGACTCAGAGCCACAGGGTCTCCAGATACAAGCAGAGTAATGGAGAGAAAGACAGCCTTTCAGAGAGGCAGGGGACCACTCACAGAAACAGACACAACACAGAGACACCCATTCCCAATAAACTCTTAATCTCAAAAGTCCCCCAATCTGCTATACTTCCAAGACTGGCACTCAGGTACCTTCTTAGACCCTATCACTGAGAAAGACACACCCAGGCAACTCGTACAGGCACACACAAACATGCACTACACCCTTTACCACGGAAACTAACATACCATGGACACCCACAGACACAGGTCACCGGCTGCAGCCTCACCAGACCCAGTATTCACAGAGTGCTAATCAAGCTGAAACCTGGTACTGCCAAGACAGGCAGCAAATACTGACTGGGCTCCTACTGTGTGCCAGGTACCAAGGATCCAGACAGGTAGATGCCACAACGAGACACACTCTCATGAACTCACTCTCCACATGACTGTCTCCTCAGGCCTTTCACCGGCACCCACCTGCCCCCAATCCTGGGCCTGTGTCCTTCGGTTGACCCCTCTGCCCTCCCCTGCTCACGCTTCTCTCCAGCCCCCCCCCCAGCCTCTCCTCCGTGAAGCCCCCTTACTCTTGCGGACTGGGCTGCTGGCCTCGGCCCCGATGCCAGTGCAGATACCAAAAGGCTCCCAGGCCAGCCAGCACAATGAGCAGGATGCCAGACGCCAGCCCCACCACCAGGCCTGCTACATCCACGCGTCCGTGCCCTGTGGAAGAAGGGGGCGGGAGGGAGCCACTTTCTCAGGGGCTGCCACCCACCCCGACATCCAAATGCCTTTCCCCTGAGGGAGGCAGAGTGGCCATAAAGCCGGGCAGAGCTGAGGCGATATCCTGGCTGTGTGTGATCTCAGACAACTCACTGTACTCATTGCCCTGAGGGTACAATGGGACCATAACCCCTCTCTGCCAGGCTGCAAAAATTCAATGAGATGAAACACAGAAAAGCCCTACGATGACCTCATCTGGTCCTAGAAAATGCGCCAGCTGTATCCCCGAGATAATAGAGGCCCCTCCCCCGAGGTGGGGTGGTTCAAAACTCGCCTAAGCAATCCATCTGCCAAGATTGCAGGTGACACACTACAGGTGGGGTTGGAAAGTCCTGGAGCCAACTCTCGAGGCTCCCACACTGAGAGGCGGAGCGGTTCCCGTATTTTATCTGGCAGCCCTGCTCCCTCTGGACGGCAGCCCATTTTACCAATCAAGCTACTGAGGGGCAAGGGCTCAACTCTGCAGGAAGAGCAGTACCCACAGGAAGGCTTTCGAATTTACCAGAAGGCTAGAAAAAAATTCAGTTATCAGTGGAGGAATTTAGGGTGTCCAGAACTCATGTGGCCCCTTTCCTAAGGTGTGGCGCCTTTGGCAGTCCCAGGCTTTGTGTCTGAGGGAATGTCTGGGGTGCGGAGGGGCAGGCGGGCTGCAGGGAGGACTCCAGCTTCCTGAGGCCTTGCTAGGTCTTGCACGGGAGGGAGACCAACTTTAACAGAGCGTGGGGGGGCTTTCCTCAAACAGTAAACCCCAACGCTTGAGCCTTCTTAGCAAGAAGCTGCATTGAGGAGACAGGCCCTCTGACATGTTTCAGGTGGATTCAAGGAGCCACCAGGCATCCAAAGGCCTGTGGAAAGGTGGTTACCTCCCCTAGCAACCAGGCTCCAATGTGAGGACTCCAGCCCAGACCTAGGGCCTGTTGCTAAGGTACATCCACCCCTAGCAACCAGGCCACAAGGGGGTGGGGCATCTGGTGCCTGGAGGGGGGTCCTCTGGTGGGCAGCAGGCCTTGGGTCTTGAGCCTGGCTAGGTGTGGTTGCTAGGGAGAAAGCCTCCTTAGCAACCAGGCCCAGGCTGGGATGGGGCTGTGGGGGAGGGGGAGCCAGCCAGGTAGTGAATGCTGCAGGCTTCCTAGGCCCGGCCTGGCCTGGCCAGGGCCCTGTTGCTAAGTAGCAGCCCTTCCCCCGCTTAGTGGCAAGGTTGCAGCCCATTGACAGAGCCTCAGAACTTAGAGAAGGGTTTGAGGGTGGGCAGACTGGTCAGGTGAGGAGGCACGGGCTTCTACAGTCTGGCCAAACCCAGTTGCTAGGGAGCAGCCCCCCTAGCAACCAAGCTGCGGCAGGGGCTAAGGCTCTGGACTCCAAAGCGGGGCTCAAGTGGGCCAGCAACTCTGAGCCAGAGGCCGGAGAGGTCCCAGGCTGTAACTCCTCTCTCCACCCTCACTTCCCGCTTTCTGGAAACAAGGGACCTCTCAAAATGAGACGTGGTGGGCCCCTCAGACTCCCTGGCTAGTCTCCAATGTGAGGAAGCTTTTAACCACCACCTCCAGGAACCCAGGAATTGGAGAATCTGGGGTGGGAGTGTTGGTTCAGCCTCCATGGGAAGGGGCTGCCTTAGCTTCACAGAACCAGAGGGCTTGGCCTCCCACTCACCTGCTTTGCCATTGTAGATGTACGTCTCCCAAAAGCGCTCCTTGAAGAGGTGGGAGTAGAGAAGGGGGGAAGACAGCCGTCAACTGGGAGATTCTATGCACCCCAACCAGCCCGCCCAGACTTCCGAGACCAGAGGGTAGAAGTCATTGAAGACCAGGACCCTTCCCCAGCCTACCGGGTCCTGGAGAAACAGGGGCTCTGGGACTCCCAGACCCTCACCGTCAGAGTATTGTCCTCAAAGTACTCCCGGGCCTCCTCCCAGGAGCACTTCTCCTCGTAGCACTCCCGTTCCAGGTTCCCCGGCATGAACAGCTCCAGATCCCAGTGATTGGCTCGAGGAACTCGCCTACGGCTACCCAGGAAGCTCTGGGCCTCTGGGGAGTCCACGAAGACTTCTGGGCCCAAAGGATAGGACAGACAGAAGATTGGAGGACCAGAGACATGGAGGGATCTGAACCCAAGGGGAGGAAAGCTGTGGGGCCCTGGGGTAGGAGGGGACTAGAGGCAAGGGGTCCAGAGTCAGGGGAAAGTGGGCGTCAGAGCCCGGATACCAGCCCTTCCCCCAAACACTCACCTTGGCCTTGCTCCCCACTGGATGAGGTGTCCAGGCAGGTGGCCAACCCCAGGTAAAGCAGCAGCAGAGAGGGGTGGCCCCTGCCCCTCATATTTTGTGGACACCTGGAAGGAGGTGTGGTGTAGATGACAAACGCCTCGGCCCCTGAAGGTCTCCCTGCTGGGACTCTGTGGCCCGTGAATTGTCACAATAATAGCAGACACTGCCATAGCCTGTGTTCTGGGCCAGATGCTGTTCAAGGTAGTTTACTTCTATCAACGCAGTTTAATTTCCACAACAATGCTATTGTTATCCCTACATTATAGATAAGAGAACTAAGGCACAGACAGGTGAAAGAGATTGCCCAGGGTCTTACAGTTTGCAAGATTCAGAAGCAGGATTTGAACAAAGGTAGCTCCTGCCTGCAGAGATGAGCAGGACACTTATCTTTTCCATCCTCTGAGTTTTCAGCCCCCAGTACAGTTTTGGCACATAGTAGGTGCTCATAAACATGTCCACTGGTGGTGAGGATTCCTTTCGTCCTGGTAACTTCCACGCATAGCTCTATGTCTCTCTGCCTATTGCCACATCCAGCAACAGAGATCAAAGGTTACAGGAGACAGAAGAACAGGGGTCTAAATTCTTGGGTCCAGTGCCCTGGACTCCTGGGCTTGGGGGCACTGAATTTTGGGACCCCGAGGGGCAAGGAGCCAGGAAGCCAAGGTCCCCAAACCAGGCTCTGCCTCCAGGGACGTTCACTTACCTGTCCAGACTTGTGAATACTTTCCCCTCCTCCTTAACCAGGGCCTCCTAGGCCAGCTGCGGCCAGCTGCGACGAGAGGCAGGATAGAGGGGAGGGAAGAGAAAGGAGGGGTGCCCCGTGCTCCCGCTCCCTGTAATCCTCCCCGATCGGGGTTTCTGGCAGCGGGGCGGAGTTTGCGGCTACCTGCTCTGGGCGGGACTCAGGTAAGGGACAAAGTATTTAAAGGGACCTTATGATGAAGGCCCTAAGGTTCAGAACCCCATAGGGAGGCCAAGTTCCCTGACACTGTGGGATACTTAGAGAACTGGATAGGCCCCTCCTCCACCCCTCGCGTTTCCCCAATGGGAGCTCGCCCAGCCGAGCTCGGGAAATAAACGTCTAGGTCTCCAGGTATTTAGACATCTACATATTTAGAAACTGGAGGGACCTGTATGCCTTGGTCCCTAGAGGCGGGTGTGATGTAGTAAATTTCTGTTTCCTGGAGTGATTTGAACGGCTTTGACTCGAGACTTCTCCATTGCTCCGTTTATAAAATAGGGACAGAGGAACTGAACTGTCCCCTCTCAATGATCTCTTCAGTTACAAGAAAAGCGGATATACTTGAGGAAGTGGGTTCCCAGTTTCTGGAGGGAGTGATTAGTGATCAAACTCCGGCTTGGAGAGACGCAAAGCTGTGGGTACAAGCAGGAAATCGCCTGCCCCGGTAAATGCCTAGTAGATACTAAGCGTGCCCCCAAATTCATCCTAGCTCTCCTAACCGGAACCTTCGATCTGTCGCTCGCATTTCTGGAGGGAGAAAGAGAACAAGGGAGGACTTACCGAGCCCGATGACGTACCTCCGCAACTAGGGGCAGCTCTATTTCCGGTTTCTTGCTCCTCGCGGAAGTGGGCGGAACTAAGAGGGAAAACAACGCTCCTTTCCGGGGTATGGGGAACAGTTGAAGAATCAAGGAAGGAACAAGGAGCCACTAGTGAGGTGAGTTCCAGGTGGTGGAGGGATAGTGTTGCCCGGATCGGCTTCCCGCGGGCTAGAGCCGCTAGAGCCCTGGGGTCCTGAGGTAGGGACATCTAGTCGTCTCTCAATGTCTCTTGAATTTGTCTTAATTTAGAACAATCTCCTCTCCACGCCATTCACGGTGTAATTGATTCATTGAAGCAACTGGGTCAGTTGTTTTGCTGATCATCCCATGATCTGGATTTGCCTTTTTGCTTCTTCGTAATCTCATTTCACTTATTCCAGGGGTCAGCAAGCCAAACCTGAATCCTGCTGACCTCTTTTTTTTTTTATCAGCTTTATTGGACTGTAATTCACCTAACGTAGTTTACCCATTTAAAATGTGCAGTTCAGTGGTTTTTGGGTATATTCCCAGAGTTGTGCAACCACCACACCACCCTTGTCAGTTTTAGAAGAGTTTCATCACTCATAAAGAAACCCAGGACCCATTAGCTGTCACTCCCCATTTTACATCCCCACCCAGCCCCAGGCAGCCACCAATCCACTTTGTCTGTATGGATTGACCTAATCTGAGCACTTCTCTTGAATTGAATCATTTTTCTGTCTGGCTTCTTTCACTTAGCATGATGTTTTAAAGGTTCATCCATTCTGTAGCATGTACTAATACTTTTCTTTTTTTAGATTTTATTTATTTATTTATTTATTTATTTATTTATTTATTTATTTATTTTAGAGAGAGGGGAAGGGAAGGAGAAAGAGGGAGAGAAACATCAATGTGTGGTTGCTTTGCATGCGCCCCTATGGGGACCTGGCCTGCAACCCAGGCATGTGCCCTGACTGGGATTCGAACTGGTGACCCTTTGCTTCGCAGGCCCCTGCTCAATCCACTGAGCCACACCAGCCAGAACTACTTTTTTTTTATGGCTGAATAATGTCCCTTTGTAGGAGATATACACATCATATTTTGTTTATCTATTTATCAACTGATGAACATTTGGGTTGTCTCCACTTTGGGGCTAGCGTGAATAATGCTGCTATGAACATTTGTGTGTAAGCATTTGTGTGAACATGTTTTCATTTCTGTTCCACTGGAAGTGGAATTGCTGGATCAAATGGTAACTCTGTGTCACCTGTGGAGGAACTGCCACAGTTTTCTAAAGTGGCTACTCCATTATACATTCCCAACCTCTGCGTGGGGGACCTAGTTTCTACATGCTTAGTACCCAATGTTTTTATTGTAGTCATTCTAGATAGGTATGAACTGGTATCTCATTGTGGATTTGATTGCATTTTCTCAAAGATGAGTGATATAGAGCCTTTTTTCATGTGCTTCTTTTTGTTTTTTTAGCAAAGTGTTTATTTATTTTTAGAGAGTGGGGAAAGGAGGGAGAGGGAGAGAATCATTAATCGGTTGCCCTGGCCCACAACCCAGGCAAGTGTCCCAACTAGGCATTGAACTGGCGATCTTTTGGTCTGCAGGCTGGTACTCAATCCACCAAGCCACACCAGCCAGGGCTCATGTGCTTCTTTGAAGAAATGTCCATTCCAAGAATTTTGTCATTGTTTTAAAGATTTATTATTTATTATTTAAAGAGGGGGGAAAGGAAGAGAGAGAAACATCGATGTGAGAGGAAAAAAGACTAATATTTTGTGCCCTATAACAATTATGTGTGATATCACACATAAATAAATAAAGTTTTATTAGAACGCAGCCATGCCCAGTCACATACAGTGTCCACAGATGCTTTTGCCAGACAAGGGGAGTCGAGTTGCTGTGAACCTGTATGGCCCACAGAGTTGAAAAATCTTTCCTATCTGGCCTTTTTTGGTGACAACCCCTGTTACATCCTGTGACTTCCTAGAAACAGGAAATTAAATAAAAACTGTTGATTACTCCCCCTGGGCACGTAGCGCAGTTGCAGCGTCGTCCAGGTAGGCCAAGGTGGCAGGTTCGATCCCCAGTCAGGACACATATGAGCATCAACCAGTGAATGCATCAGTAAGTGGAACAACAAATGGATCCCTTTCTCTCTCGCTCTCTCATCAGTAAGTTTAAAAAGTAATAAAAACTAAAAACTTGATTAAATTTAGGTTCCGCCATTTTGACATGAATACTTCAGACTTGATAGCTTCATGTTGTATGATGCCTGGTTGTTCCAAATTTTGGGGTGATGAGATTGTGGGGGAGCTTCAGGTGGTGTTTATGAACTCAGTGTTTTTGTCCCCTCCCCCCAGCTTCATGTGTTGAAGCCCAGACCCCAGACAACAGGAATGTTTGGAGATAGGGCCTTTATGGGCGTGGTTGGGGTCACATGAGGTCATTAAGAGTGGGGCCCTAGGCCAGGGGATTGAGTTCCTGTAAGAGGGGGCAACGCCAGAGAGTGCCCTTTCCTCCGTGTGAGGCCACAGTGAGGGGGTCAGCCATCTGTGAGCCCGGAAGAGAGTCCTCCCCAGGACCCAACCACGCTGCTACCCGGATCTCGGACTTCCAGCTGCCAGAACAGGGAGAAAAGAAACATCTGTGGTTGGAGCCACCCAGTCGATGGTATTTGGCTTTGGCAGCCCTAGCTGACTGATACAGATGGAACAATGCAAACCCACGGTTGTAAAGCTGCAGCTTTGTCCTTTCTTTTAGCGAGTGGTGGCACCCTGAGAGAGGCACCCTGATATCCCGTTCCCGTTCATTTTTCTGTCAGTTGTCATTGCCTGGGTTGGCTGCGTCACCATCAGGGCTTACAGTGATGGTTTTCCAGTTCTCTCATTCCGCCTGCTTTTTAAAATCTGAGCAGTTTGGGTTTTTTTTTTTTTTTGAGGATTTATTTATTTGTTTGTTTGTTTTTAGAGAGGGAAAGAAGCATCAGTGTGTGGTTGCCTCTCACGTGGCCCCCAGTGGGGACCTGGCTCGCAACCCAGGCATGTGCCCTGACTGGGAATCAAACCGGCGACCCTTTGGTTCACGGCCCACGCTCAGTCCGCTGAGCTACTACACCAGCCAGGGCCAGCAGTTAGCTGTTTTTGTCTTGAGCTAAGTCCAGGAAGCCATTGAAGGAAGTGATTTAAAGTTCTGTTTCCAAATGTTCACTGAGGCTGTTCTCTTAAGAAAAATTTTTAAATTTTTATTGATTTTAAAAAGAGAGAGAGAAACATCAGTTTGTTGTTCTATTTATTTATGCATTCATTGATTGATTCTTGTATGTGTCCTGAACTGGAATTGAACTCGCAACCCTGTAGTATCAGGACAATGCTCTAACCAACTGAGCTACGTGGCCAGGGCTGGGCATCTTTTTCCTTGCCTACAAACTGTGGAGAGCCTTCCTCCGGCGGCTGTCACAAGGACTGAGTGCATTCAGACGGGGCAAGTGCTTGGTACAGGACCCAGTACATAACTGTTCGAAGGATGTGATGATCATTTCTATTCTAGTGCTTTTCTGATCAATGTATTGGTTAGCTGGGTGATCAGTTCATTGAACACTCACTTCCCCTGGGGTTGAAGTGGTGGAAGTGGTGAACTGACCCCATGGTAGCGTCTCGGAGCTCCCCACCCCCCAGGTGTCAGGCAGTGCTGCCGCCCAAAGGGGAGTCTGACCTGGGTCCCCTTCAGGGGACTCCTGGTCCAGGGGAGGATATGCGGAGGGGTGGTGGCTATAATGGAGGTAACTCAGGGCATTGTCAGAGCTCAAGGAACACCCGACTGAGCCCAGAGAGACAGGATTTCCAGGGGGGAGGACCAGGCGCACACCAGCAGTCTCGTTCCTTGACCCAAATCCTGCACAGAGTCCCAGGCTGCCCGCAGCCGGGCAGAACAGTGACGGGTAAGCCCAGACTGGGATGCCTGTGGCACACCCTCCGCTGCACGGCCTTGGGCACCTTCTCCGTGCCTCCGTCTCCCTGTCTGTAGCAACCGTTTGGGTTGTTGTGGAATTCGGTGGAGATAATATGTGTAAAATGCTTAGAACAGGGCCGGGTTCACCAAACTGCTTAAATAAATATCAGCCATTATTCATGGAAAATCTCAGAGGCTTGCATTTGCTCTTTGGGAATTCTCGCCTGCTTTCAACAGGTCCGTTTCTGTCTGGGATGTCCTTCGATGTAATGAGGCCTCTGAGTGTCTTTCACACAGAGGCCTCTGCCCCCTGGGATGGCCTTCTAGGGAGAGAGGCTTGTAGTACTGTTAGGGTCTCAAAGGGATCTCTCTGCCCGCCAAGTGGTTAAGAACCATGGGCCCAGGATTCAGCTCTGACTGGTGTGGCTCAGTGGATTGAGTTCCGGCCTGTGAACCAAAGGGTTGCAGGTTCAATTCCCAGTCAGGGCACATGCCTGGGTTGCAGGCCAGGTCCCCAGTAGGGGGCGTGCGAGAGACAACCACACATTGATGCTTCTCTCCCTCTGTTTCTCCTTCCCTTCCCCTCTCTCTTAACAATAAATCAATAAAATCTTTAAAATTTTTATTAAAAAAAAGAACCACGGGTTCAGGATTCAAACAGACCAACTACAAAAACAAGACAGGACAGTCAGGGACCTGTGAACACCATCTGGACTGTCGATGATGTGAAGGAATTGCTAATGTGCCGTGGCGTTGGGGTCATGGTTTTAAAAGCCCTTCTGTCTTAGCGCCGCGCTGTTCATATTCCAGTACAGCAGCCGCTAATCCCAGGAGGCTATGGGGCACTTTGTTATGTGGCTACTGCCACTGAGGGACCGACTTTTAAAGTTCCTGCGTTGGATTTCATTTAATTTAAGCACTGATACCTGATTCAGTTACTGGAAAACCAGAGTAGGTGCATGTCCATTTGCACCAGCCTTTTTTTTTCCTTTCAGTTTTTATATATTGATTTTAGGGAGAAAGAAACATCGATTTGTTGTCCCACTTATTGATGCATTCATTGGTTGCTTGTATGTGCCCTGACCAGGGATGGAACCCACAACCTTGGTGTAGCTGATTGATGCTCTAACTAACTGAGCTACCTGGCCAGGCTCAGCACCAGTACATTTTATGAAACCTAGATAAGGACAAGTATCTCCAATGGAAACTTAGTGTCTGAATGGGGATGTGTTGAAAGAATAAAATATACTCTGGATTTTGAAGACTTCATACAACAATAAGAATTCTCGGATTCTGACCTCCCTGGTGGGACTAACAGTTGCCACGTGGTTAAGAGGGCAGCCCCAGAGCCTGGCTGCCTGGGTTCGAATCCTAGCTCTTCCACTTCCCAGCTGGGGGGGTTGATTCTATGAGACTGTTTTCTCCCCGTGAAGTGGGAATGATGATGAAGAGTAGCAGGCGTTGCCCTGACTGTGTGGCTCAGTCTGATGGAGTGTTGTCCTGCACATCGAAGGGTCGCAGGGTCGGCTCCCAGTCAGGGCACACACTGAGGTTGCCGGTTTGGTCCTCAGTCAGGGTGCTTATGGGAGGCAACTGATCAATGTTTCTCTCTGACACTGATGTTTCTTTCTCCTTCTCCTTCCGTTTATTTCTAGAATCCTGTAAATACATCCTTGGGTGAGGATTAAAAAATTAAGTTTTAAAAATGTAAAAAAGCCCTGGCTGGTGTAGCTCAGTGGATTGAGCAAGGGCTGCGAACCAAAGGGTCGTCGGTTTGATTCCCAGTCAGGACACATGCCTGAGTTGCAGGCCAGGTCCCTGGTAGCGGGCACCTAAGAGGCAACTACACATTGATGTTTCTCTCCCTCTCTTCCTCTTTCTCTAAAGACAAATAAAACCTTTAAAGAAATATAAAAAAGAAAAGAATATCTGGTGTTGCTTTGATGTGTCATCTCGGAAATACTAGTGACAGCAGACGGTACCAGCTCTGTTTTCTGTTTTGAAACTGGCCTCACTGAAGAGACAAGGCAGCCTAGTGGCTGGAAGCTTGGCGTCTGGAGTTCTCAAACCCTGGCACTGCCACCTGCCTCCTCCTCGACCCTTGGCCACGGGTCTCAGGACCTTAAAAATCATTGAGGACTCCAATGAACCTTTGTTGGTCTGAGTTCTGTCTTTTAAGACGTACCCTATCAGAAATTGAAACAGATATTCAAACTTTTAAAAAAGATTTTATGTATTTATTTTTAGAGAGAGGGGAAGGAAGAGAGGAAGAAACACATGGACTGGTTGCCTCACATACACCCCCACCCACCTTGGGAGCCGGTTCCCAACCCAGGCATGTGCCCTGCCTGGGAATCAAACCGGTGACCTTTTGGTTTGCCGGCAGGTGCTCAATCCACTGAGCCGCACCAGCAGGACACAGAACACATTTTTAAAACCCAAGCACGCACTTGGTTAGCCTTCCGAGTGATGATGTCTTCACGTATTACACAGCCTCTGGAAAATGCCACTCAACACGCATTGTGGTGTGAGCACAAGAGGCACATTTTGCTCTAGAGCCACGGAAACAGTTTTGTGGGCCCCCTGAAAGTATCTTAGGGACCTCTGAGCACCAGTGCCCTAGGCAAATGGCCTCACTTCTGAGCCCCAGTTTGCCTCTGCAAAGCGGTGGTGGTGGTGGGGCAGACCGGCAGGTGCGTGAGTTTGGACGGTTGGGGAGATGGGGGGGGGGGCCGAGATTGGCACGCGGTCAAGGGTCGAGCGGTGTCCCTCACGATTATTCCCGTCATGGCTGTCCAGGTTTGAAAAAAAAAAAAAAGCTCCCCCTCTAACTGTTCCTCTCTCTCAGAGGAAAAATGTCCCAGTCTGTGAAGCCAAAGACGTAGAAATGCCCTGTTCTTGGCCACGGGACAAGCAGCTCAGCGCCAAATACTGCAGAGGGTCAAGGCAGTTGACAACTAAGAATAGAGTGCGGAATTTGTCCATGAGGAGGTCAACTCGACCTTCCTGAGTGGTAGTGGGGGGCTGGGCGGAAGCCAGGGGGCCAGAGCGGGGGAGCGGGCGGCAGGTGAGCCAAGGGGACCAAGCAGGTGCTGGACACTTGCTCAAAAGCTTGGGGGTGAGGGGAAGTGGGAGGAGGGGGCTGTGGGTTCCGTTGGGGTGCTTCGATGAGGTTCGAGTCCGCGGGCAGCACACTGGCCACTTCTGGGGGGGGCGAGCCATGCTCTGTATCCATTGGGGAGGTGGTGACAAGGGCGCGTGCGTTAGTTAAAACGCATCAAACTGCATCCTTAAGGTCTGTGCGGCGTCTATTCTCTATAAATAAACCTACAAACAAAAATTGGCTTCTGGGAAGAAGTCACCAGTAGGGGGCGAGCGAGATCCATGGCTCAGAGAGGGTTATGTTTCAAGTCTCGGGAAGTGAAAAGCAAGTTTCTGAAAGTAAGGAGAGGGGGAAATAAAGATAAAGCTGCTTTTTACATTTTGGGAGCCCTCGGTTATGTGCCCCCCTTACCGCACCCTCATTCCACCCCGCCTCTGCCTCTGGATCCTCCTTAAACCAGAGCCAGAGAGAATATTCCCTAAATGCCCACTGTGTGCCGAGCTCTGCACATGACCTCACTTAGCCCTCGCAGCCATCCAGTCCCATCAGCCAGGTCCCCCGACTATTCCCACTTTTTATCAAAGGAAACTGAGGCTCAGAAAAGGGAGATCACCAGCCCTGGCCGGGTGGCTGTCAGTTGAGCATTGTTCTGTGCACCAAAAGGTTGCGGGTTCAATCCCAGGTAGGAGCACTTCCAAGGAGAAAGATCGATGTTTCTCTCTCTTCCTCTTCCTCTCTCTCTCTCTCTCTCTCTCTCCCCCTCTCTCTCTCCCTACCTCGCCCCCTTTCCCTTCTCTCTGGAATCCGTGGCCATGTCTTCAGGCGAGGATAAAAACATAAAATAAAATAATTTAAAAATAAAGAAAAGGGAGATCACCAGTCCAGAGTCACACGAGTGCAGGGCCAAGCTTGCACTCAAGCCCACACAGGTCATACTGCTCAGCCCTCCACACATCCGCCCATATTACCCCCTTCTTGTCTCATTCATTCATTCTTGCTTGTCCCCCAGTCAGTCCCCTCCCTACCGGACAGCCATTCTGGTATGTGTGACTCTTGTCTGTAGCATTCTTTGTATCGTTTTGGCACATGTAGATTGTCAGCGATCTCCTTTCGTTTCTTTTTGCACCCAGCATTGTGTTTTTAAGACCTACCCATAATTTTTTTAAAACTTAATTTTATTTTCTTCCATGTTTTTGAAAGATTTTATTTATTTTTAGACAGAGGGGAAGAAAGGGAAAGAAACATCGATGTGTGGTTGCCTTTTGTGCACCCCCTCCTGGGGACCTCGCAACCCAGGCATGTGCCCTGACTGGTGGGAATCCAACCGTCAACCTTTGGGTGGACAGGATGATGCTCCAACCAACTGCGCCACCCAGCCAGGGGCAGCTGGATTTTTCACGTTGATTTGCCAGAGTTCCGTGTACACTCTGTTCTACTCTGATGCTTCTTTTGAGGCATTAGGGATTAATGTGAGCGTGAAGCAGATTTCACCTTTGTTTACGTGTGAGTTCGCCCACCAGAAGGGCTCAGAGAACCGGGAATCTGCATTCAGTTGAATTGAGTACATAGGCAGGCAGGGCACGCTCACACCTGGAACAGCGACCAGGCCCCCCAGGCCCCCCGCCCCCCCCGCATGGCGAGTGTGGAGCCACACCCATCCGCGTAGGGTGCTAGCCATCCCCATCAGACTTTAGCTAACTCCTCCCACCACCTCCCACTGACTCATAAGGCACACCCCCACCGACGCGCCTACAGTAAGCAAACCAGGTCTTTTTCAAGGTAAAGTGACATTTCTTTTTTGGAATGTGTGGGAATTTCTTAAGCAGTTAATGTGTGTAATACTGTCCGCCCCTGCCCCACCGCCAGCTTCCCGCTCTGGGGCACAGATTGGCTCCTTTGGCCACCAACGCCCTCCACTGGTCCCTCCTCCCCCAGGATGACTCGGCACGGCAAGAACTGCACAGCCGGGGCTGTCTACACCTACCACGAGAAGAAGAAGGACACAGGTACTGGGCTGGGAGGGAACTGATGTGTCTTGAAGTCACCATGGCACTTGGCGCCTCTGCGTGTGTCTCCACCCCAACTGATGGTCACCACCCCATCATCCACGTGACCCAGCAACCCTGTCCCCACATCCCATGTGACGGGCACCGTGTTAAGCACCTCTGTGTGTGAGTGAACTCATCTAATCCTCTCAGGGAAGGGGTCGCTGTCGCCATAGCAACATCCCCTAGGAACACATGGAGGCCCACAGAGGTTGAGGCTCTGGAGACCGGTCACAGAGCCAGAAGGTCCTTTGGGGATTAACACCTCCCTGTGGCTTGGGCAGCCCTTGTCCCCAACTCCGAGGCACGCAGACACACAGCCCACTCGACTGCCTGTTTCTCTGGGTCTGCTCACCTCCCACTTCTGTCTGCACCTCTCTCTCAACGTGTGGGGGAGACACGTCTCCCGTCCCTCCATCCTTCTTCTGGTCTCTGCCCCCAGCGGCCTCAGGCTATGGGACCCAGAACATCCGACTGAGTCGGGACGCCGTCAAGGACTTTGACTGTTGCTGTCTGTCTCTGCAGCCCTGCCATGACCCCGTCGTCACGTGAGCAGGGACCACGGGCGGCGCGGGCGCCCCAGAGAGGGGTCTGTAGGAGTGGGTCTGGCCACTCGCACAGCCAGGGAGCCGTGGGCAAGCGCTCTGCCTCTCAGAGTCTCAGTGTCCTCGTCTGAGAGTGGCATGATGCTGCTGTGTTTCCCCGGGCAGTGTGGGAAAGAAGTCCTCTGTAAGGGAGGGGCGGGCTCTGGGAATGTCACCTGGCCCCTCACACAGCTCACATGCGGAGCCCTTCCCGGTCCTCACCTGCCTCTGGGGACCCAGCACGGGCGTCAGCGGGATCTAAGCATGAGGTCCTCAGCGTGGTCACTGGCTGTGTGTGTGCCCAATTACAGGACTGTTAGGAGGCAGTGATGAGAGCAGTCAATGCATCAGGGTCCCCGTGGCCACCTTCAGGGTCACTGGTTCCCTCACAGGGGTGTCCAGCCTTTCGGCATCTCTGGGCCACACTGGAAGAAGAGTTGTCTTGGGCCACACGTTAAATACATTGCAACACATAATCACACACAAAAAAACCCTCATAATGTTTTAGGTAAATTTACAGATTTGTGCTGGGCCGCATGCACAGCCATCCTGGGCCGCATGTGGCCCAAGGGCCACAGGTCGGACACCCCTGCAACCTAGAGGGACTTGTAGAACTCAGCAGAACTGTCACCCACCCTCACAGTGACAGTTTGTCACAGTGAAAGGGGGCAGATTCAAACCAGCAGTGGGGCAAAGACACATGGGACAGAGGCCAGGGGACACCAGAGGCCAGCTTCCAGTTGTCCCCCAGGTGGGGCCGCACTTGGTTCTTCCAGCAGTGACAGGTGACACCTCGTATGGAGTGTCATCCGCCAGGGGTACTCGCCCAAGCCCTGGGGTCCAGGGTCTTTACTGGAGGTTGGTCACGTAGACAGGACTGGCCACCCTGTGGCTGACCTTGGTCTCTAGCCCAGCCCCACCCTACCCCACCCCACCCGCGCCAAAGGGAACAAAGACACCACTTCAGGCCGGACAGTCCAAGGCCTAGAGGTTCCCTCCCAGGAGCTCCTCAAGGGCCAGTCCTGAACGCGCAGGGTTTGGCCAGCCCAGGCCCACCGAGTAAGCCTTCCCCACCTGAGATTCTCCCTACACGTCATAGCGCATCATGCAGCCGGGAGAGTAAAGGAGCTGGGCCCCCAGTCAGCTGCTGCCCCTGACGTGGTCGGTGGGTGCCCTGGCCGGGAGCCAGGCTCTCAGCCCTGTGCTTGTGAACCCCCGGCTGGGCAGCCTGAGCTAGGCCGCGCTTCCCATCCCGTCCTCTCTCCGCAGCCCCGATGGCTACCTGTATGAGCGCGAGGCCATCCTGGAGTACATTTTACACCAGAAGAAGGAGATCGCCCGGCAGATGAAGGTGATGAGGACGATAAGAAGGGCGCACGGGGTGTGTGGGTGGTTTGGATGCGGCGCTCACTGCTCCCTGGCTGCCCGCAGGCCTATGAGAAGCAGCGCAGCGCCCGGCGGGAGGAGCAGAAAGAGCTGCAGCGGGCCGCGTCGCAGGACCAGGTGCGGGGCTTCCTGGAGAAGGAGGCGGCCATCGTGAGCCGGCCCCTCAACCCCTTCACTCCCAAGGCCACCTCGGGGAATGGCTCAGGTAAGGGGGAGTGGGCTTGCAGGTGGGTGGGTTCCCCCAGGGCCAGGTACTTACCTAGGTGCAGCGTCGGAACCCCTCTGCTCTGCCCCCTGTAGATGATGCCCTGCCCGGTCCCAGTGCCGGCCCCGCAGGCAAGGACAAGGATAAAATGCTGCCCAGCTTCTGGATCCCGTCGCTGACGCCTGAGGCCAAAGCCACCAAGCTGGAGAAGCCGGTGAGCACCCCAACAAGCACCCCTGCGCCCACCGTGCCAGTGTCCCGAGGGCACCCTCCCCTCGATCACAGGGACGCCAGCCAGCCCTGCCTCTCTCCTGCTCTCCTAGTCCCGCACCGTGACCTGCCCCATGTCCGGGAAGCCTCTGCGCATGTCCGACCTGACGCCCGTGCGTTTCACGCCTCTGGACGGCTCTGTGGACCGCGTGGGGCTCATCACACGCAGTGAGCGCTACGTGTGCGCCGTGACCCGCGACAGCCTGAGCAATGCCACGCCTTGTGCGGTGTTGCGGCCCTCGTGAGTCTCCTGTGGGGGGAGCACACTTGGGTACATGGGGGGGCGGGAGGCAGGCTAGGGGGTGTGGCTCTCCTTCAGGGGCGGGGCCTCTAATTGGCGGCCCCACCCTTCCCCTCACCACAGTGGGGCCGTGGTCACCCTTGAGTGCGTGGAGAAGCTGATTCGGAAGGACATGGTGGACCCAGTGAATGGAGAGAAGCTCACAGACCGTGACATAATCGTACTGCAGCGGGTGAGCAGGGGCCCTTCCACCGTGCCTTCCTCCCAGTGCCCTCTCCAAGGCTCCGCCCCTCACCTGCCCAGTTACCCACTCCTGCCCCGGGACACCGCCCTTCTCCCCAAAGACCCGCCCCCTCTATGACCGACCCCACCCTATTACCCTAGGCCCCGCCCCCACCCTTCCTAGCTTGAGGTACTTTGTGTCTCACGTTGCTGACTTAGGATACCCCCCACCTGCAGCCCTTGGTCTGCCTTCACGTCTGCCTTTCCCCTCCTCCAGGGCGGCACCGGCTTTGCGGGCTCTGGAGTGAAGTTGCAGGCGGAGAAGTCGCGGCCGGTGATGCAGGCCTGAGGGCCGGAGAGCAAATAAAGGGGTTGGAAGCCACTGGCCGAGCCGCGCCTTCCTTCCCTGCTGGAGCCCCGGGGACCTACCTGCCCGCCGGCGGGCGAGGAGGCTCCCCAGTCGTGGCGGGCATGCTGGAATGGCTCGAGTTTGAAAGCGTGAGGTGCGAGTGTTCCGTGTGGTTGCAGGTTCAGAGTAAAACCTGAATTGAATGCAAAGGCACAGCGTGAACACTGATTAGGACGGCCTGGAGGTCGAAGTCCCGGCCGCCATCCTATGAACGCGCCGCTCTAACAAGCTGGATAGGACCCCCTTCGCATCCTTCTGGTCTAGGCCAAATTATTCAAAGTCCATGAGATGCCCAGGAACACCTCTGCCAGAGTCAAGTGTGGTAACACACCCAAAGGAAATAGCGTTCTTTCAGAGAGCAACAGGCAGGCAGTGTAGAGGTGGCCAGGAACTGCGGCCTCGCCCCCCCCCCCCGCCCCCCAACACTGACTGCAGGAGAGTGAGGAGGAAGAGGAAACCGCAAGGGCAAAGGCCCAGAGGCAGCAAGCACAGGGTGGGGGCTTGAGGAGCTGAGCGAGTGAGGGGGAGGGGTGGGAGAAGAAGTCAGAGGCGTGGGCCTGGTAGACTTGTGGGCTTCTGGCCTGACTCAGGCAGCAGGTGCAGCCCTTAAAGCTTTGCGTTGAACAACCTTGGGGTCACCAAAGCGTCCCTGGGCAGGGTGGTGAACGAGCACCTCCAGTCCAGCAAAGATGAAAAAAATAAAGACAACCTTCGCGCCTCCCGGATGGATCCCTAGGTCCTGTCCTTCCCGGCCTTTCTCCACATGCGCGTGCATGAGTTTAGCCAAAGTGAGATCTCAGTGCTCGCACCATCTGCCTTGTCATTTTGGTAAAAGGGTTTCTCATCTAGTGGCCAGATGGGAGTCAAAGGACCAGGAAGTGGCCCCACTGCTGTTCGGTGAAGCCCCCACCCCCACCCCAGGGGCAGGACAGGGTGGTGCATCTGGCTCAGGGACCGGTTTTAGTAGGAGGTGGGGTGGGCTCAACATTGCACCCTGGGAAACCACCAACCCAGTGTTTGCTCCCCTAGGCACTTCTAGAACATTTCCTTGGCCCCTAAGGGCCCTCACACCCAACTCTTCGGTCCCCAGTCCCTGGAAACCGGCCCTGTTGCCCCTAACCTTATAGGAGCGCTGGCCACTTGGACCTGGCAGTCTGTAGCCCCCTTGAATCCTCACCACAGCTTCGGGCCAGGGACGTCCTCACGCATCACCCAGAGCACCCCCATCCTCCTCCTCTTCCCTGAGCACCCTCAGCTGCCGCTGAGTCCTTCTAGCTTTTTCTCACAGGCCCTCAAGGACTCTAATCTTGTTTCCGTGTGGTGCACAGCACCCCCATGCCCCAAACCACTTCAAGGATTTCCATCCTGGCATCTTTATTTCCACAAGGAACCGAAATTCAGCTCTATTCACAAGTCAGGCCCTTTGCAGGAAGGGGCCGGGGGTGTGTGGGAAGGTCCTCGCTCCAAAAACTAGGTTCCCTAAGCTTTCAGAGGGAACGAGAAGAGGAAGCAAGAGTGGTACAGCACGAGAGAGACAGGAAATGGAAACAAATCTTGCCTCTTCTCAGCAGAGGTTCTCTAGACACTGGTCTGAAGTTTAGAGCAGAAGTGGGCGGGCCGGGGTGCATCCTGGGCGGGGCGTGCCTGTCTGTGGCTGCAGCCTCAATGGGCCGGTGGCCACACTTCATAAGACCTTTGCAGTGACTGCTCTGGCCCCTGTGGCTCAGCTGGTTGGAGCATCATCCTGTGGACAAGTGTTCGAGGGTTTGATTCTGGTCAGGGCACGTGCCCAGGCTGTGGCTTCGATCCCTGGTTGGGGTGCCTATGAAAAGGCAGACAACCACTGTTTCTCTTACACATCAATGTTTCTCTCTCCGCCCCCTCTATCAAAAAAGCACTGAAAAAACATCCTCGGGTGAGGATTAAAAAAAAGAAAAAACACCCTTGCAATTACTTGTTAAGACTTTTAAATAGGGAGATTAATTCTGGAAAAAGGAAAACCATAGGAGCAGGGAGCAAATCCTTGGTTGCCAGGAGAGGAGGGGGTTTTGACTACAGAGGCTGGGTTGGCATGAGAGTCTGCGGGGCTAATGGAACAACTCTATATCTTTCTCTTTAAATATTTATTTATTTGTTTTTAGAGAGAGGGAGAGAAACATCAATGAGTGGTTGCCTCTCACGCGTCCCCTACTGGGGACCTGGCCCACAACCCAGGCATGTGCTCTGACTGGGAATCGAACTAGTGACCCTCTGGTTCACAGTCCAGTGCTCAATCCACTGAGCCACACCAGCCAGGGCTGTATCTTAATTATGGTGGTGGTTACATTACGTGCTAGCATCTTCCATGCAGCATCACTTCCATTTTTTCTTGTAAAAAACAAGAAACGATTGAAATTTGGTCAGGAGAGAACAGGTTAAATTATCTAGGTGAGAATAAAGCAGCTGTTTAAAAAAAGACAAAGGAAATAAAGACAGTCTTTTGGACTGAATTGAAACAGTCTTCAAAATATATTCTTTATTACCTCAATAAGAAAAGTAAACTTAGCCCTGGCTAGCGTGACCCAGTGTGTTGAGCGCCTGCCTATAAACCAAAGGGTCACCAAATTGATTCCCGGTCTAGGGCACATGCCTGGGTTTCAGTCCAGGTCCCTGGTAGTGGGTGCACAAGAGGCAACCACCATTGATGTTTCTCTCCCTCTCCCTTCCCCTCTCTAAAAAATAAATAAGATCTTTTTTTAAAAAGTGAGTTTAAGATTGGAGGAGTCTGCCCTGGCCGGGTGCCCAGTTGGTTGGAGCATCATGCCGTACACCAAAAGGTTGTGGGTTCAATTCTTGGTCAGGGCACACACCTGGGTTCAGGTTCGATTTCTGGTCGGGGTGGGCACAGGAGGCAACCAATCAATGTTTCTGTCTCACATTGATGTTTCTCTCCCTCTCCCCCTTACCCTCTCTCTAAAATCAATAAACATATCCTGGGGTGAGGATTTTTTAAAAGAATAAAATCAAAGAATTTTGTCACAAAAAAGTATTTTTAAGAAAAACAAGAGAAGCCCTGACTGGTTGGCTTAGTGGGTTGGGTGTTGTCCTGTGAACCAAAAAGTTGCCGGTTTGATTCCCAGTCAGGGCACATGGGAGCATGTGAGAGGCAACCACTCACAATGATATTTCTCTCCTCCTCTCTCTAAAAATAAGTAAATAAAATCCTTTCTATTTTAAAATAGAAAACCTCTTTGGAAAATTATCATTATTTTAAAAAAGGAAGAGGTAAAAATATTTTTAACCATCTGCTATCATCTTTTTTTAAAGATTTTATTTACTTTTTTAGAGAAGGAAAGGGAGGGAGAGAAACATCAATATGCAAGAGACACATCAGCTGCCTCTCACATGGCCCAACTGGGGACCTGGCCCAAAGCCAAGGCATGTACCCTGACTGGGAATCGAACCAGTGACCTGGCCGCAGGCCATCACTCAACCCACCTAGCCATGCCAGCCAGGGCTGCTATCATATCTATTAAAAGAAGAAGAATTGGAGTATATTCACTTAAACCTCTGTAAATTCTTTCCGGAAAGAGACACTGGTTATGTGTGAACTTCATGAAAGGAAGACTTCATTTTAAAACATTTTATTTCTGATTTAGAGGGGAAGGGAGGGAGAAAGAGAGGGTCAGAAATATCATGCCCCAGGGGACTGAACCTGCAACCCAGGTGGCCTTTCGGTGTGTGGGACAATGCCCAATGAACTGAACCACACCGGCTGGGGTGGAGGACTTCATTTTTAGTATATAGCATCTTGTATATTTAGAATTTCATGTTCTGTGAGTATATTGCCAACATTTTTAAATAACCAAATCATGCTAAAGGTTTTAAAAATGCTTCTGGGGAGAACCCCTAAGAGTGATGAGATGCAGCTCAGCCTGCCTTCAAAACTTGTTCTGCACAAGTCATTTGTCACTGCGTGTGAATAGTTGAACGATAAAAAAAATCTACGAAATTGCCCTACTTCTCCATAAACCAATTCTCCCGCCGAAGCCACTAGGGGGCAGTATATTACCATAACAAAAAGTTTGGAATCCACACATTTGGAATCAAATTCCAACCTTCCCCGGGGGAACGGTCACAAATTCTGGGTGAATCAGAAAACAGTTAACTAGAGGCACCAGAAATTGAACAGAAACAGGCAGAAACGGGATGGAAACTGAAACTCAGAAAAAGGAAAGGCAGAGGGCAAGTTTCTCATTTGTACGCCTTCAGCTTCCATGCAGCTGAACCATGAGAGACAGCTAAACACCCAGGGAGGAAACTCCACAGGCTTCCGGAGTTGAAGCACCACAGCAACGGGAAAGCGAGGGATAAATCTGGAAAAGAGAGGGTTTATCCCAAATATCTTATGGAAACTCTGCTCAAATATCTAGCTGACCCTGAACCAGACGCAGGGGGTACACTTCAGGAAGTCCAACCAAACCTAAAAACATAGCGAGCTGAACATAAGTTAAATTTTACAAAAGAGACAGAGATTATAGTTTCAGTCCAACCAAAAGAATTGCATGTTTATATTCTAGAAGCAAAAAGTTGGAATGTGAAAGTGAAAAACAATTACAACAATATAAACATACTTAGAGATCAATTTAACAGAAGATAACCCTGGCTGGTGTGGCTCTGTGGATTGAGCGTGGGCTGTGAACCAAAGGGTCACTGGTTCGATTCCCAGTCAGGGCACACATCTGGGTTGCAGGCCAGGCCCCCAGTGGGGGGCGCCTGGGAGGGAACCACACATTGATGTTTCTCCCTCTTTCTCCCTTCCCCTTTATCTAAAAATAAATAAATAAAATCTTAAAAAAAAAGATATAAGGTCTTCGCCCCAAAACCCACAAAACATCCCTGAAACCTATAAAACCTACAAAGCAATACTTAAGTCAATGGGAAGTTATACCATGTTCATGGATTGGGAGACTTTATATTAAGTTGTCGGTTCTCTAGACATTGGTCTAGAGCAGCAATTTCCAACCTTTTTCACCTCATGGCACACATAAACTACTAAAATCCTAGGGAACACCAAAAGTATATTACTTCTTGCTGATCTGACTTAAAAAATAGGTATAATCTGGATTCATTCACACCAGCTTGCTATTGTTGTTGGATGTTGTCATTTTTTTTTATTTGACAATCTGAAATAAAAGAGGTCAGGGCCCCTAATAGTCACTTATTGCGTGTCTTCAAAATCCTTGTGGCACACTGGTCAGAAATCACTGGCCTATAGGTTTACAGCCTCGCCCTACGATATTTCCATCTCTTTCTCTCCCAGAAGGAAAAGGAAAAGAAAACATCATCAAATATGGGGGTGTCTATGACTTAACACAGGAAAGTGATTTCTCTTTCTTTTAGTTGCTTGTGATGTTTTCCATGAGCTTTATTTTTAAAAGCAATTTGAGGGTTACAGAAAAATTAGTGAGAAGTATGGAGAGTTCCCATATACCCCTTTGCCCCACTCCCCCTATTATTAACATCTTGCATTCATGGGGTGCTTTGTTATAATTGGTAAGCCAATATTAATACAGTATTTTTTTGTTTGTTTGTTTTCCATTTATTTTCAGAGAAGGGCAAGGGAGGGAGACAGAGAGGGAGAGAAACATCAATGTGTGGTTGCCTCTCGAGTGCCCCCTACTGGGGACCTGACCTGTCCCCGCAACCCAGGCATGTGCCCTGACTGGGAATTGAACCAGCGACCCTTT